ATTCTTTTTAAACCAACATAAAAACAAAGACTGTGTTTGGTTGTATTTTCAAATTAACTTTTAACAGGTGAATTCCCGCTTAACGTTTAGATAGGACACTGAAATATGATTTCGCGTGTTAATTCAAATTACGATTTGAAAATCCGTTTGGCATCTCGTAGTTCATTTATCCGCTTTCAACGTGTCTGCCTTCTTCCTCTTTTGCTCTGAAAAGCTTCCCCTTCCTTCTCCATCATCTCTGAAAATTTCCTGTGACCCTCGTCTTTCTTTTTCTTTTGATCTGAAAAGCTTCCATGTCTTTCTCCATCGTATCTGAAAATTTCGCGTGAACCTCATATTTCTTCTCTGTATCAAACATCAGACATGGAAGCTTCGACTATCTGATAGGAAACTGAGTGGGAGGTGTGAGATGGGATGACCGGCCGGTTGACCTCCCTGTTGTCCCGGTCCGACTTCCTTCTCTTCGACTATCTGAAGCTAAGGTTCAGAAGGTTCAGGTTGTTATTTTTTTATAGAAAGGCTGAGGTTCAGAAGGTTTAGGTTGTTTTTTATTTTTTATTTTTACTTTTTATTTCTTATCTATTATTTTTTTATAATATTAATAATTTTTTAATAATATTACATCTGTATACTGAACACACAGCTGCACCGTCTGCATTGTGTCCCTTTTTCTTTGGCCTAGTGTTGAACACATAGCTATGATACAATAGGTGGTAGGTAGTAGATAAGTGAAACTACTATATTACCCTTTTCATTTTGTTCTTATGTAACAACTTCCCATTTCAATGAAGATGGACAAAATAGTCATTTTACAGGCCAATTGTCACGACCCAAACCCGGCCCTATGGGTTTAGCACCGTAACCGGCCAGTAATCCGAGATTACCGAAGGCCTACTTAACAGTAGTACAGTAAAACAGAGTACAGGGCCTGGCGGAAGCCAATACAGTAAATAAAAACTATTTTCAAAACACATCACCAAACAAATTTTCTTATTTCACATGTCACATCAAATTTTTAAAACTTAATTCAAAATATATCTTCAAAACACATTTTAACACTCTATTTAAAAACCATAACCAAACAAATTTTCTACACTCAAATCATAATTCCACAACACACAAATTCAAAAAACAACTCATACTCTCAAATCACATTTATAAAACTCTACCAAACGCTACCAAAGGGTTTAAATGTTCATTTTCAAATTACTTTTGCTTTCCATTGATTAATATGGAGTGGAAGTAGATGATGTTCGCAACTAGTTTGATAATATTATTTTTTAATCTAAAAATTAAAAAGTTATTAAAAAAAATTAAAATGTCAATAATTTATACTAAAAAATTAAAGATTTTCTTTCTCTCTACTTCTTACATATCTTTTCATAAAAAATTAAAAAGTCATTATAAGCATATTAGTTTTTTTATATCATATTTTAACTAAAAAATCAAAAAAATACTAAAAAAATATGTTCCCAACCAAGGCATTATTATTATGCAAGACTTGAGGTTATTTAGAATTATATAGATAAGTATATATAATATATATATATATTTATGAAAAGATATAGAGCTGATGTAATCTAAATGAAAAATAATCAGCTTGTTTGGTTATGGTTTTCAAAAAATAATTTTCAAAAAATTTTATCTTTTTATTTTTTTTATTTTAATGTTTTTAATGAATTTATTAAATATTTTAAGCATTTTTTTAAATTTTTAGACACACCTAACATCAATACACTTAAAAAGTATAATATTTGTGAAAAAAATATTTAAAAAATACACTAAATACCAAAAAATAAAAATGAAAAAATATGAAAATTTAATACATTTTTTTATATTTTTGTGTATTTATTGATTTTTTTCAAATATTTTACTATTTAGATACATTTAAGTAAGGTACATCTAATATTTAAAATTTTAAAAATATTCACTAAAAACAAAACAAAAAAAACAAGAAAAAAAGACCCAATTTTCATAAAATTAAATTCAAAAAATTAAAATCAAACATACTGAATATAATTCAAATAAGATTAAAAAAATTTTAAATATACATATATATATATATATTAAAGTAGGGCTCTTTTGAAAATAGATTAGTAATCATTTCTTAACTTTTAACCTATTTTAAATTACATTATCCCCACATTTTTTCCGCGCTATTTCCAAAACAACCCGTAATCTATCCCAAAAAACCCCTTGGTCAAGACGCAAAAGATTTTCACAAAGTTCAAAGATTCCTTTTAAATTATACACAACTACTACCTTGATGAATTTTCACCAACAAAGTCAAACGTTCAATGAAAAACAAATTTATAGTCAATCAGTCAGACCACCAATTAAAATAATTCTTACAAAGAAAAAAAAATTCAGTCAAACCCTAAGAATAATTCACTACATCACTAGCCAAAAGAAAAATCACTGAAGTTCTCTGAAACCGGTTCTTTAAAATTCTCGTCAAAGTACAATTTAGCCTTCCTTTGGAAAGATTATTTTTGACTTTTTAATTTTTGATTTTCTTTTAGCTTGATTAAAAAAATTTATTTGAGATAAATTTTTAATCTTTTATAATTTTATAAGAGAAAATAAAATAATTATGATTTAAATATGATATTTTATCTTATTAAGTTTTTAACTTATTTTGTCTTTTGATACACTAATTTAGGGGTTATTTGGGATGTTCTAAATAAGTGTACTTTTTGACTTTTTATGAAATATGAGTTGAATATAAGTTGAGTTTGAAGTGATATAGTAGAGAAGTGATGCGACTTAAATAAAATGACGTGACTTAAATAAGATAGTGATTTTTTAACGTTTTAACTTTTTTAAGAGATGACAAATAAGACCTTAATCTCAACCTACTTTCCAAACAAGACCTACTTACCCAAAAAATAAAAACAAAAATAATGTGTGTTCTCTTAAAATATTGTTCCAATGTCTACAAGTAAAACCAAGATTTTGTTTTGAAGAGTAACCGCTTGCAACAAACTTCTAATCAAAAAAAAAAAAACTTTCGTTTTGAGGTTACCATAACTTGAAAGGAAAAATGTCACTGCCTTCGTCTAAGGTGTGGATTAATTTTTTAATTTTTTAGTCTATGATTAAAAAATCTCTTTTTGTGATTAAATTTTTTGATTTTTTTAATTTTTGTAAAAAAAATAAAAATAAAATAATTATGATTTGAATGTGACATTTTATGAGTGTTTAGGAAGTTGCTATTGGGTTCATTTGAAAAGTGAGTTGGCTTTTTGAATTTTTTGACTATTTAACCTAGTGTTAAAAAATCTCGTTTGGAAATAACTTTTGACTTTTCGTGAAAAAAAAATATAATAATTATAAATTAGATGTGATGTTTTGTTTTTTGTAACTAAAAAATCTATTTTTTTTGTGTGGCGATTTTAGCTAAAAAACCCAACCTTTGGCTTCCCAAACAAACCCATTCTAGTAGGCTAAAATTTATGTTTAGAAAGATAATTAAATTTTTTTATAGTTGAATGTAATGCTTATAAAAAAAAAAAAGTGAAATAATTATGAATTTGATATAACATTTTCTCTTATTAGTTATTTTAGCCTATTTTGTCTTTTTGTAAATTTTAACTTAAGAAAAGCTAAAAAATTTCTTGCCAAACATCCATTTTGTCTTATTGACTTTTTAATTTATTTTATTTTTTTGTGACTAAAATAGTCCAAAAAAAAAAAAACTCATGCCAAACATAGCTTTAGTTTTGAGGAGTGCCAAAAATTGAAAAAAAACAAAACTTTACCTATTGATATAATTATTGTATTTCAAGTATTCTTTGCAGATATTTGTAAGAGCGTGAGAATATATATAAAGATAAAAGACTACTCTACATGAAAAATAAACCAAGTTTCTATTTAGCCACAACAAGATATGTATGCTTTTATTTGATATATCTGCATATTTCATGGGCAAAGCCCACAACATACTGGATTGGTAGGACTCATGGGCCACCATAGAAGATTTAAAAAAATTATTGGGTTAGGGCCTTAAGAAAGATTTTTGAAATTGTTGGGTGCCAATAGAAGTAAGTCTTTGATGAAGTAAGTCTTTGATGGGTCATTGAATATATCTATCAAAATTACACAAAAATTAGGAATGCCATGGCACCCTCACTCAACAGTATGATTCTCCCTCTACAAAAGTCGAGAGTGACACGATTCTATAAGCTCCCTGCATTTAGGAGGCAGCCCCCATGTAATCATGTGACATTGAAATTGTCAATGCATTGCCCCAAGACGACAAAACAACTTCTCCACAACTGCAAAAGACCTTGTTCGATGCAATTTTTAACAAATTATAAATTGATAATCATAAATCAAAAGTTAAAAACACCTCCATGCTTCCTAGTAATCAACTTCTTCTTCTTTTTCAATTTATTTAAACTATTTCACAACATAAACCGTGAGCAAAAATTGAACAAAAGATTGAAACAAATTTCTAAAATAAAAAAGTTAAAAGCAACTCCATAAATGAATACACACATTTTCAACGTTTAGCCTGGTGTGCCTTGGAGGGTCTCAATACAATAGCCAGTAAGTTCACTTCTCTCAATACAATACAAACACTAATGCTGTGTTTGGTTGGGGTTTTTGGGGTGAAATTTGGAAAAGGAATGAGAAATGTAATCCTATTTATGTTTGGTTATAATAAAAAATATATGGGAAAAGAAAGAGAGTGAGAAATAAATAAAGAAATAAGAGACCTTTTAAGACATCAATTCTATTTTATAACCAACACAACCAAACATAGTTGGGATTTGGAATTCTATTAATTCTTTCTCCTGTTCCTTTCATTTCCATTTCCCTTTCCCTTTCCATTTCCCTTCCCAAATCCCCCAACCAAACACAGCGTAAAGTTCCTCCAAAGTTCAAAGTTAAATGGCAACTTTTTTAAGTACAGCCAAGAAAGGTAAAGCAAATCAGCAATTTGGACAGTCAATAAATACTGCCTGAAGCAATAAATAAATTATGGATAAAAGGCCTGTTCAGAATACTGCTATAATTATATGATTTGCTAATTTCAACACAGTGATACACTAAAATGCACATTCTAGTGCTTACAGCAGCATCCAGATTGATTAAATTCTGATACAATAACATCTAATCCAATGTGATTACATGCTATAAATAAACACATAAGTTTCAAAACTTGTAGCATAGCAGATAATTATATATAAAGGTTTCCACAAAGACACAAAATGCAAAGCCACTTTTGAAACTGTCACTAGGACTGACTTACTGAATTTTAAGAAGCCAAAACTGCATGACGCTTGTGCCCAATAAATGCCTGTCGAAGTTCATGATACCCATTCCTGTAATGCTCCAACGAGAAACATAGCTGCCGTATAGCCTCCCTCTTCTCCTCAGCTCTATCCGACATCACAACTCTCTGCATGCCAACCTCTTTCTCCAACTCTCCCACTCTGAGTCTTAGTGCATCAACTAACTCCCTTGCATTTTCAGATCCAGCTATCAGCTCCACACATTGCTCCTCCAGCAGTTTGATCTGGTTGTCTCGAGAATTCATGTCTGCAATGAGTGTCTGTACCTTAGCATTGAACCCATCTTTCTCTGCCACAACCATGTCATATTTCAGTTTTAGCATGTCAAGCTTTTTATTCAAAGCTTCCATAAGTTCACTTCTCTCAGAAGCATCTGCCTTCAATTGTTCAATTTCACTTGACAAACCATTCTGTTGGGCTTCATGCGAAGACTTCATTTCCTTTTTCTCAACCTCACATTGCCTGATCTCATTTTCCAAGGATTTGCTTCGCAGTTCTGATTCTTCAACTCTTGCCTCTGAGACAGCCAATTGCTCTGACAGAACAGAAATATCAGATTGCAGCTTTGCTTTATCCAAAGAGAAGGTGTTTTGGGCATTACTTAATGCAAAATTCAACTCCTTGATATCCTGATCACGCTCTGATACATCAGCCACATGCCTTACAATTCTCTCCTGCATCTCCAAAACCAGCCTTTTCTCTGAATCAAGCTTGGCTTCCAACATGGCTATATCTTTCTGAGCTAATTCAAGCTGAGCTTGCAATTGATGAGTGCCTTCAGAAATTTCATTGCAAAGTCCAGCCTTCATTGTTCCAATTTCCTCTTCTGAAACCTTAAGCTTTTTTCTAGCTATTTCTAACTCTTCAACCAAAGTCCCAATCCTACGATTGGAATCTAAAACCTGAGTTTCCAACTCAGCTACTTCCATTTGTAGCTCTAACACCCTTCCTTTCTCCATTTCAAGGTTGGCCTCTTGCATCTTTAAATCTGTCTGTGCTGACTCAAGTTTATCCTGCAAATCACCAATAAGCACAGTAGTAACCATTTCACTCTTCTTGAACAGATCCTTCCACCTTGCAACCGCTTCTTCAGAAATCTGAAGCATTTTATTCGACTCTTTCAATTCGTCCTCATACTCGGTGATTCTTTTTAGCAAAGCTGCACAGTCCGTATTTTCTTGTACCTCCAGCTCATTATCTGCTTTCTCTTTCTTTGTCACATGTGATATTGAATGCTTGTTGATTGAGGAATCAAATGATTCTGACTCGGAATCTGATGCCAGCGATGAAGACTCAGAGCCTTGCTTTAAAGAGAGATCAGAACTACCACCGGAGCTTAGAAATGAATCAAAGCCAACAGCTTGCTGCCCTAATTTGTGCAGACCCGACTTCTGATCAGGAGTTGCCATGGATGAGTCTTGGCCAGAGCCAGAGTGAGACATTGAATTCTGGATTTGGAACATTGATGAGGCGTTCTTACGTAATTCTCCAGTCAAATGATCATAGCGCTCGGCCAGTGACTTATACAAGCGATGGAACCCCTCAACATGAGCAATCAACACCGGCCTATTCTCACCATTCATCTCAGCCTTCTTTGCAACAGAATCTCCATCTTCTTCAATCAGTTTTAGCATTTGTTTGACACTCTGATCCACCTCTGTATTTAAGAAAAAATTCAATATTACTTGTGGGAAATTTTATTAATGACAAGAATAAATTTAACCCCTATTGATTATATAACATTTTCTGCATTTTTCAAAGGCTATCAAGCAGCAAGAATGTATATAACTTCATAACAGAACACAAAATTGCAGTTCTCAAACACATTAGTTCATGTATGCTACATTAATTTAATAACCTTAATATAAAATCCATCTCACAAGTCAAAATAAACCCTAACACAAAATGAACTACAAACCACTGGCCATCAAATGAACAATTAGGGGATGGGGGAATAGTAATTGGTAAACTTTTATCTCATCAGTAAAAGAATGGTTAGACTGAATACATAATCCTCTGACAGAAGCATCAGACGAAAACATAAAACAGGTAAAATGGGCTAAGAGGGCAATCTAACTGTTATATAAGATTAAGTGGAAGAGAATAATAAACAAGATAAATTTAGCTTCTGACCCTCAAGATTTTCTGCGAGCCATTTAGAATTTTTGGGACTAATGTGACTGTCCCACCACCATGAATGTGACTTCTCTGACTCTATGCCGTTCATATCTGCCATGAAACTGACCTGGAGTATTTTAAACAGGGCAATAAAACAGTCAGTATAATTTGAAGCCAAGAAAACCATTACTTGGTAATTCCTGCCATATGCTACAATCCAGAAAATGGCATTGAAATTGTAGTGATATAAATTGTGAAATGTAAAATCACACAATAGACAGATGACTATCAGAAGAAAATGTGACACAAAAAAAAAGAAAAAGAAAAAGTAATCATCCAATATAACCATGATGTGAGATGCTCTTCCAAGGATGAAAACCCATCAAAACTACAATCAGTTTTAGAGTAGTTGCAATAGTGTAAAACCATTGAGGAAAGAAACATAAATTGGAAATGTGTACAAATGCACATCATTACTTGAAACTTCCAAGTAGAACACCATGATTATTCCTTTTGAGGCACAACAAAATCCAATGAATTTAAGAAGAGTGCTATTATTGCAATCTGACTCACCTTAATGACAGACTTACAATTTATATCATTGCATAAAGGACAGAACATCACAACTAATAGTCAGGGGTCCATTTTAAAGACCTTACACAGTAAGGATTCACAAATACCGTGTGGTTTTGGAGTTAAAACTAGTCTGAAAAATAAAATTGCACAATTTAGGCCTCGTTTGAGAACATGTTAATTTAGTAACTTTTTAGTTATTTGGTCAAAATATGAGCTAAAAAAAACTAATATGTTTGGGATGACTTTTTGGCTTTTTACGAAAAGATGTGCAAAAAATAGATAGAAAAAAAATCTTTGGCTTTTTGGTATGGGTTGTTGGCTTTTTGGCTTTTTTAGTAATTTTTTGACTTTTTGGCTTTTTGGCTAAATGGGTTGGTTCCCAAACGAGGCCTTAGGGTTCGTTTGGGAAGAACTTTTTTAAAATAACTTTTTGACTTTTTAACTCGTTTGACAACTACATGTTTTTGTCAAAAAATCACTATAAATTATCACATCATTCTCTTTACTTTTGCACATTTTTTCATATAAAGTTTAAAAATTACTAAAATAGCTTGTTTCCAAACGAGGCCGCTGCTTGGCTTAATTAACCCCATTTGGAAATAACTTTTTGGTTTTTTTTGTGAAAGAAAAAATAAAATAATTATAATTCAGATATGATATTTTGTCTTATTAACTTATTTAGCCTGTTTTGTCTTTTTGTACTTTTTTAATCCCAACCTAAACCCAACTCACTTGCCAAATGGCAACTAGACTACTGAAAAATTCAGACATTTTAATATCCCACCTAGACAATCTCCTCAGTCAGGACCACATTTTGGTTGTAAGAATTTAACAATTAAATAATGGTCGATGCTTACTCACACAACCTAGAAACCCATGTATACAAACCAGGTTGAGGCCTGCAAAGAATTTATAATCAGGCACTTCTATTTAAGTACAGAATTACAAAGCTTTCAAAGCTGGCCTTAATCCACCTATTTGGCAGGACATAGACCCATATTAAATACTCAAAGTTATACTTTAGGCTGACCCAAATTCAAGAAATTTTTTAACAAAAAAAATGGTGACCCATAAGTGGCTCTTTCCTAAAACTTCAAGTTCTAACCATGAGGCTGCTATTTGGGATTCTACCTAGCACTCAACATATGAAAATACATCAGTCTATTATTGAACTGTCCGATTAACTTCTTAATTTGATATAATTGAGAATTTGAGCAATAAATGCACAATTTTGAAATTCATCATCACGTCATTCATTGACAAGATTGTGTGATTTATTTGCACTGATTGATGGAATAGAGTTAAACATCCCAAATGAATTTAATATTGAATAATGCTATATACATGAATTGGTATATCAATTAATGTATTAATTGACGATATGACATTTTAGAAAATTTGAATATTTGTAATTTATATAATGAATGGCGCCATAATTTTAATATCATAACATATGTTGATATACTAATTGATACACCAATTGATACATATAGCACCACTGTTTAATATTTAGTGTGTTTGGTTTTAATTTTTTGAATTCAATTTTTTAAAAATTGAGTTTTTTATTTTTAGTGAATATTTTTAAATTTTAAGCAAATTTTTTTTTTACTTTTTTAATGCATCTCCAACGGTACATTACTTTTTTCACCAAATTTGAATAAAAAATAGCTGATTTTCTCAATCTGATATGACTTGCTCCAACGGTGCATCAAAAGAGAAGGGTCATCCAGTGGGTCAACCGATAAGGCATTTTTTTTTTTTAACATGTTTGAATCTTTTTATCCTATTTGAACCTACCTATTTGAAAGGGAACTGGTCAACCGGTGGGTCAACCAACCAGATATCCGGCGGGTTGACCGGTTGCCCCCGTCCAACAGTATAGAACAGTGAAAAGATAAAATCTAGAGATTGTCCTCAGTTTGATGAAACTTTTGTTCCATTCTTATTTTGATATCAATTTGGTGAAACCATTAGCATGAGAAAAAATGATTTTTTCATCAAATTTCAAATCTGATGCAAGGTTTGATGCACCGTTGGAGATGGCCTTAGGTGCATCTAAATAGTGAAATATTTGCGAAAAAATATTTTAAAAAATTAATAAATACGTAAAATATGAAAAAGGTACTGAATTTTCGTATTTCGTTTATATTTTTTGGTATTTAGTGTATTTTTTAAAAAAATCACAAATATTATACATTATAAGTGTATTTATGTTAAATGTATCTAAAAAAAAAATTAAAAAAAATTGATTAAAATATTTAAAAAATTCATTGAAAACATTAAAATAAGAAAAATAAAATAATAAAATTTTCTAAAAACTGTTTTCTGAAAATCAGAAGCTGATTCGTTTTTACACTGATTCTCAGAAAATTGAGATCGAAAAAAATAAAATAAAATTATAGGTTGAGTGTGTATATGCATGTGTACACAAATCTAGAGAGAGAGAGTTGAATGAATCACACCAAGGGAAAATTGGGGGAATTCAAAGCGGCAAGCCGGTGAAATCAAGCGAAATTAACCATGTAAAGGACATCTGATTTAAGATTGAAAGCCATGAAATGAACTATACATTCTCAATCGCACTACAAATGTGTATACATACATGTATGTATATATATATATAGAGAGAGAGAGAGAGAGTACAAAATTGAGTAAATAATTCTTCAAAACCAACCAAAAAGAAAAGAAAAAAAGAAAGAAAAGCAAACTAAAAACAAATAGGAGGAGGAGGACTGAGACTGACCTTCGATTTAGGAGTGAAATTGGGTACAGTGCTGAGAATCAACTAAAATGGCGGAGATCTGAGGAATGAAAAAGCAAAAAAGATAAGAGAGGGAAGATGAAAAGAGGGAGAGAGAGAGAGCTCTTTTGAATTAAGGACAACCACAAAATGCTCAATTGCCGCCCTTATCTGTCTATTTTTTTGCTAATGTCAAAATTGCCCCCAGATAGTATTAGTGTACACCATTTTGCTTCCTTTTTTTTTTGTTTGGAACAATTTGTGGAGTAGGTTAAAAACTTTTTTTTTTATTTTTTTGAAAAAAATTGTAAAAATAATAGAAATGTGATGTAAATCAAAAAGTCAAAAAATTAACTTTTTGGCTTTTACTCTAATTGCCAAAATAAAGTTTGAGCTTTCTAACATAATAAATTCTGAATTTTTTATTTTGTGAATTTAAATTTTAATCTTTTGAGCTATTTTCAATCTAAATCGTTAACCCATTTTTGTTAAATAAAATCAACAAAAAAATAATAATCTAATTATTAAACTCAATGTAAATATAAATAAAAATGTTTGAAATATCAATTTTTTTATCGATTTTATTTAACGAAAATAAACAAATGGTTTATATTGAAAATAAATCAAAAGATTTTTTCAAATTTTTTCAATTTTTTTTTTTAACTTTTCAAGATGGATAGGAAAAATATAATTTTTTCTCACATAAATTTGAAAAAAAAAAACACTTTAGACCCAAAAAAAAAAGTTTTAAAAACATGGCTTTGTTAGCCGAAACGATCAATTATGAAGTGTCTCTAATTCTAAATTACTTAACTATGTTCAATTATGTTTAAATCCCTCGAGCAGAGACACAGTCAATTGAGCCACAAATTGTTTTAAAATTTATAATTATCATTAGAGGATTTTTTTTTAGAGTCCCTGATATTAAGATTTTATAGAATAAATGATATCAAATATTTTCATAATACCTAAGGTCGCTTAACATCGATCAAAAGAAAATTGGATCTAAAAAAATTTTGTGAGATCTTTCATATAACAACCAATCCAACATTGAGTGGTTCACTTCTTAGAGAAATTCTCTCCAGATAAATTTTAGAAAAAATTTCTCTAGACCTCATAGAAAAATTCTAAGAGATCTTTCATATAACAACCAATCCAATATTAAGTGGTTCACTTTCCAGAGAAATTCTAAATTTCTCTGAACTTCACAGACAAATTATCTCTAGAGAAATTTTAGAATATTTTTCATACAACCACCAATCCAATATTGAGTGGTTCCTATTGAGCCAATACGCTCTGATGTCACTTTCGCAAGAGAAAAAGAGAGAGACTGGCTGAAAAGAGAATTTCTCTATGTTCAAACCAGAGAATTTTCTTTGGTTTTGTTCATAATTTTTTCTAGCTTTGTTCACAGAGAATTGAAATTTCTCCGAGTTTTCAAATTTTCTCTGTGTTTTGATCAAATTTTATATCTTTATAAAATTTTTCTGCAAATATGGCCAGAGAAATTTTACTGACCATTTCTCACAAGCATAACAACAAATACCTTTAGTGCATAATCAAACAAACTGGGAATATACAAATCTCTTTGTCAAACAAGTTGGAATATACAAATCTGAAAAACAACCAAGTTGATATATATATATGTGAACATAACCAACAACAAATGAATACCCAATTAAAAGAAACCACAACACTGTTTGGTTAATGGAAAATGGAGTACACAGACAACCCACCTCCCATGGATCTAATGCGAACAGACAACTTCTTTTTCCTTCATACGTTGTGCTTCATCCATTCATACGCTGTGCTTCGTCCATTCTCGCCTCATGATCGAAGAAAAGAAAAAGAGAGAGAAGCAGCGGCGAAAATGAGAGTGCAGAGAAGAGAGAGAGAGAGAATGAGAATAGGTAATACATATAGGATGGATGAGGGACCTTAGCCATCACAAAATAATATTGTGGATTTCTTTCATTACAAAAAATGGGAGAAGGACCTTAGACTAATTTTCTCTTATTATTATTCAGTAATCACATGGAATGTTAATAGAGTAATGTTATAGATTCCACATCCATATAAGATATTTGATAAAAAATATGATAAAACTCTTAGGATTCTTAATATTTTTAATGTTAATAAGATTAAAAGCTAAAACAATAAGGCCACGTTTGTTCTCGTTTTTTTGGTGAATTAGATTGGATGAGAAAGATAGTTATTCAAAAACACTTTTCATAAAATTTTACTTTCTTATTTTCCGTATTTTTTGTTTTTAATGAATTTTTTTAATATTTTAAGCAATTTTTTTACTTTTTAGACACACCTAACATAAATACACCTAAAAAGTAAAAAAATTGTAAAAAAAATCTTTTTAAAATTCACTAAATACCAAAAATACAAAAAAAATACAAAAATACAGTACATTTTTTGTATTTTTATGTATTTATTAATTTTTTAAAATATTTTTTCACAATTTTTTTACTTTTTAGATACATCTAAGTAGGGTGCATCTAAAAAAGTAAAAAAAATGTTTAAAATTTTAAAAATATTCACTAAAAACAAAAAAATACGAAAAGCAAAAAAGTCAATTTTTAAAAAACTTAATCCAGAAAACTCAAACCAAACACACTGATTAATGTGTGAATTGTTAGTGAGACGATTAAGTGAAAGTGTGTTTGTTTTGATAATATAGTGCGAGAGATAATTAGTAATGAAATTGTTAAATTATTTTTATAAAACATATAAAAAAAAAAATTATATATTAAAAAATACCTAAAACAAATATATATATATATTTTTTTAAAATAACAGGTTGCAATTGCAAATAAATAAAAAAAACACTGTTCTAGATGTCTAGGTAGACGATTGGGCGGACGACTAAATAAACTCAATTTGCTTACTATTTTTCTAATCTCACGTATTACATTACCAAACTAATCTCTCTACTGAGAAAAATTATTAAGTTGCTTGCACTATCAAGCCACCCCTCAAATTATTACCGAATACGTTGTGGGTAGGATCCGTAATCATCCCAGTTCAATCCAACCACTAAAACAGTGAAACAAACATAACCCAAGTAAAAAAACTAGAATATACTTCAGCCTCTGTTTGGCAAGTGAGGTTGGAGGCTTTTTTGGCTATTATATATATATATTTTTTTAAAATAACAGGTTGCAATTGCAAATAAATAAAAAAAACACTGTTCTAGATGTCTAGGTAGACGATTGGGCGGACGACTAAATAAACTCAATTTACTTACTATTTTTCTAATCTCATGTATTACATTGCCAAGCTAATCTCTCTACCGAAGAAAATTATTAAGTTGCTTGCACTATCAAGCCACCCCCTCAAATTATTACCGAATACGTTGTGGGTAGGATCCGTAATCATCCCAGTTCAATCCAACCACTAAAACAGTGAAACAAACATAACCTAAGTAAAAAAACTAGAATATACTTCAAAGTGTTTTTATAGTTTAACGGGTTATCTTGTACATTTGACTAACAAATTAGAATTAATAATAAAAATATAATTTGCTGAAGGTTGTTTTTGTAAATTTACAACTAATGTCTCTGGAAAGCAGGGCCCACTCCAACCTGCCCGCGCAATTGCTGGAAACAATGGCGGGAAAACAAGCACTTTCAAACAAATTCAAAATTTAGAGCCTATTCTCTATTTTTGTCTATGGTAGTTTGGCATGTCTTAAACAAATGCAATTTTTTATTTTTTAGATTAAAAAATTGAAAAAAAAAATATGGTTGTTTAGATTAATTTTTTGAATTTTTATGGAAAAATATGTATTAAAAAATTGTATAAATTAGTGTGTGGGGAAAAATTAGAATTAGGAGTTGTGCAGTCGTAATTTTTGACTTTTGGTGAATAGTGATAACTTTTTAACTTTTTAAGTAACTTTTTGACTCTTTAGGCACATGCCAAACTTGGCCTAATATATTCGTTGTTCTCAGAGTTATTTTGAGAAGTAAGGCCCCGTTTGTTTGGGGTTATAGGAAGGGGATTGAGACTACTAATTCCTTAATATTACTAATACATTGTTTGTTTTAAGAGAAGGCCTTGGGACTACTAATACCTTGGTGTTACTAATACTCTTGGAAGGGGGATTTATAGTGAGGAGGTAGAGATGGTATTAGAAAAATAGTGAGAGGATTAGAATTTTTATTATTTTATTATTTTTTATATATTGAGATTTTTTTAAAAAATATTAATGTTTAATTTATATATATTTTTTACTTATTTTATTATTTTATATAAAAATAATTTAACAATTTTTCACTATTAATCCTCTCACTATCAATTCCCTCACTAACAATCCCCTCACTATTAATTCCCTCACTATCAATCTCCTCTATTCTACCTCTGAAATCAAACGGAGCCTAAAGTTAAAAATTAATTTTTTAATTTTTTTGATATTTTTTTAAAAAATGTATAAGAAAATAAAAAGGAAATATAATTTTAAAAAGTTAAAAAATTACTTTTAATTATTTTTCTAAAATAAGGGGTTGTTTAGGGTGTTCTAAATAAGTGTACTTTTTGTCTTTTTGGACTAAAAAGTTGAGGTAAAAAATATGGATGTTTGGGTTAACTTTTTGACTTTTTATAGAAAAATGTGAATTAAAAAATTATATAAATTAGTGTGTAGGGGAAGTTTGGGCAGAGTAGGCAGTATGGTGGGCACAATAATGTATAGGAGAAGCTTGTCTCCTTTTTGGATATTGAATTGGATGGTATTGTTCGGCCCGTAGGGGCCCACCACGGGTCCCGTTTTGCTAATCGGAACC